GATGATGATGATGATGATGATGATGATGATGATGATGATGATGATGATGATGATCATGAACAAATGTCACTGCTTTCAGTCCCTAGAGTTGCTCCATCCCCTCCCGTTGGCCCATGACTTCAAAACCATGGAGACTTCAGAGGCACTTTCAGCCGTGGTGATCGCCACCAAGTCGATCGACGAGGAGTGCCATGGAGAAACCATGAGAAACCACCAAGTTTGGCTCGCAAGGAGTTCAGGTTTGGTACAGTAAAGTATAGTGCATATTGTTTGCTTGCTACTTACTCACACACTCACTCTCACTCTCACTCTCGCTCTCACTCTCACACACTCACACACTCACACACTCACACACTCACTCACTCACTCACTCACTCCCTCCCTCCCTGCCTCCCTCCCTCCCTCCCTCACTCACTCACTCACTCACTCTCTCTCTCTCTCTCTACTTTCCTATTTTTTGGATCAAGCTTCTCCAGTTGATGAAGAATGGATGGCCGGGTGGCCTCGTTTGGACAGGGCCATTCGTGCTAGTTACATGAAGTGGTTCTGGAAGAGGAGATGTTTGGTGATTACTCGTGAGTTCCTAACTGCTTCCATCTATGAGGTCTTTAGATTTGCGACTATGTCATATCAATCTGTTGCAGTTTTGGTTCCTTCAGTTACAGTAAAACTTATGAAGGAATGTGTCGAACTGATAAGTCTGTGTTGCTGTCCGATGATCTGATCTAATCATGATGTTGATCATCAAGACCTTCGAGCGGTGGGGGGTCAGTCCAAGGAGTATGGCAATTTTCATGCACTGTAGAGGGACACCCTTTTCCAAAAACCAAGATGTGCGTGGAACCATATTTTCAGGATCGTCCAACAGAATAGGTGCCCTACGAGTGTTGCTTCGGTGTGGAGCTGATGTTTGTCGACCAACTGCCTGCGTCTTCCATCGCGGTGTAGCCTTTGGTCGTTTCGGAGGCGGATGCTTTATGCTCGAAGCTGGCCTTCTTGACCAAAGACGGGTGCTTGCGGACGATCGGCTGGGAGCCACAAGCGGATGAGAGGGGTGGGATCGAGTACCTGGATCAAGCATCACCAAGTGATTCACTCAGGTAGCTCCCTGGAGATCCGGCAGCGCTATGGCGGTGGCCATGAGCTGAGGGCCACCTTGAAGCGGCCCAGCATACAGGTGCCCCACTTCAGATCTGACGCGTGGCCTGTCACCATGTTGCTCAGGCAAACAATATTTATGCTATGGCTATGCCTATTCACTGCCATGTAGTTCTCGCTGATGAGTGAAATTAGATTCAAACCGTGCCGCAGGAAGTCTACGACCGCGTCCGCCGTGACCCTGAGAGCCTGCAGCACTTCTTCCGCAGCTGCTGCGAGGCACTGGGTGTCTCGCCGTCCAACGCGTCGTCCGACCTCGCTGCCCGCGGAGCAGCGGCAGACACGGTGGCCGAGCTGTTGCGGCCACTGCAGGAAGAAGAGGCGAGAAGTACGGCTGGACCGAGCTGAACCGGAGTTGGATCGCAGCTTTGGGAGGTTTTAAAGGTTAAGAGGCCCATGGATGCTTTCTTTTTTGTTGTTTTTTTTGTGTGTGTGTGTGTGAGTGTGTTTAATTTTAAGGCCGCAGCCTGCCCCCTAATTAAGTAGGCGCCTGCTTAATTACATAAGTTATATAAGTAAGGGCTACGTAAGCTGCTAGCTACTGGACGCAGGATAGCTGACGCTTCATCAACGAAGCTCCCGTCGCCTAAGGGCCGAAGCTCCCGTCGCCTAAGGGCCGGGGAGGAGCTTCTTTGAAGCGCTCGCAGCCGCTCGCACTAATCTTGTTCCTAGAGAATGTGATAGGGATCATTCCCTAGTAGCTTCTTGTTCCTAGTAGTAAGGCCAGGAGCCCCCAGTAGCGTCCTTGCTCCTAGTAGCGATGCCCTTTGCTCCTAGTAGCGTCCATGTTACAGTAAGAAGTCCCCAGTTTGACAGTTCACTTTGGCAAAGGCCCGTGGCAATCAATCGATGTTTTGACACCACTCAGACTCGTCATCAATCAGAAGCAACGAAACAGCCCTGCAACCCTTGGCAACCTTTGGCATCCAAACAGCCCAGTCTTCCAATAAAGGGGACCCAGAGGCGGTGGAAGCGCCGGAAGAGTTGGAGCTGGCAGAGGATTCTGCAGAGATGAAACTGGAATTGGCTGGAAGGTGGGATATGAAGGATGTGAGGGATGTGAATGAACTGAGGAGGGGAGTGCTATGGGGTTGGGACTTCAGAAGAGTTGAGACGTTGGAAAAAACTTCTGCGTACGTACTGCGTAAGGGCACAATTGCTGTAGTCAAGATAGCCTTTTCATTCCAGAGCTTTGGTTCGTTTAGAATGACACAGTAGTTCTCGGCAGACTCGAGATCAACTCTCCTCCTCATGTACCGCCTTTATGACCGTGAAGGCCACCTCTTGGTCTCGGTGCGCTGTTTTGCCGATGGCTCAGGAGCCAATTGATCCTGGATGAGCTAAAACCCATGTTTCCAAAGATCCAGTCGGTGGAGGAAGTGTCCCTGCTGCGCGTCTTCCAGCTTCATGACAAGAAGAAGGCCAATGATGGCGGTGTGGCTGATGTCTTCCGCCAGGTGGGTTGAATCGGGTGAATCGACCAATGAGACCACCGGGTGCCGTTTGACCTTTTGTGACGCTTCTGCAGGTCTGTTCAGTAAGTCCAGCTGGCGCAGACCGCGTCCACCCACTCTACACCCAAGCAGTGCCATCCACTTGGTGTTTCCCTGTGCAGGTGGAAGCACGGAAAGAACGTCTCAAGATCGCCGACTATTCCATCACGCAAACCTCTTTAGAGCATGTGCTTCGGCGAAGTAGAGAGCAAGGGTATTTACTGTACTGTAGCTAGTTTTGAGAGCGACATCCCGGTTGGCTTTTAGTGTTGGCTAATCTGTAGGACTGTTCAAGAACCTGCACAATGAAGCCACGCCTGAACCTACATTTGGACCAGGTCTTCAACCAGCTTGCGCGAGAGGATGACTGAAGGAGAGGATGAACGACTGCATAGCGTTGAGCACCCTGTCCAGATGGAAGATGGGTGGATGAAGACATACCCATGACTAGAGTCTTTGCTCGTTGACGTTTGCTGCAAATGGTCTGTGCAATGGACGTTGTATGACGTTGTGACAGCTGTTTGTGCTAAGAGGTCGATCCAGCCCCACGGCGTAAAAAAAGGTGGATCAGTTGGAGAATGGGTCGTCGTATGTAGTAGTGTCTTTCGCCGGTTAGGTCAGATGCCAAAAGGCATTCATCACTTGGCCGAAACAATCGACTTCGCCTCGCAGAGCATGTCTCAGGCTGCGGTGCAGCTCTGGTTTGGGGACAGATTGAGCGAGAATGCCAGGAAAGATATGACACCATGTATGATCCCACCAGAAACGTTACCGTTTTGGAAGGTTTGTGACACTTGACGGTGATTGACCCCACAAAGGAGAAACGATGGTCCATGGATTGCTGCTTCTTTTGTTTCGTAAGGAACCGGATGACCAAGACATGGGCCACGAAGAAGCAGCAATGGGCGACAGCCGCTGTGAAGAAGCGTCTTCGACATTCGACCGCTTGCGGCCCCACCTGTGGGTCGAAGTAGGCGCATCTAGAGAAGCAACTATGAGCAACAGATGCTATTGTTCTTTTGTCACCTTTTGTTTCATCTAAAGGTACTTCGGTTGGAAGAAAGCCAGCACTTACTACATTTACAACAATTATATAAGTCGAACTCTTTTTTCCGCAGAACCTGAGCTGGTTGTTCATTGGCTGCTTCGAAGCTGTTATAGATTATCTGGGATGCGTTTGAAAGCTTCCCGAACGCGAGAAAGGTGGACATCACCTTTCCTCGGTTGAGAGGCCAGAGGAAACAGCAAAAATTATATAGATGAAGGAATTACACCAGCTACGGGGTATTATTGAAGAAATTACGCCACGTACAAGCTGTGTCTGGGCACCCTCCGAAAGGAAGAACACATGTGTTGATCCCCGGCTGTCATGATCACTGCCGAACCCTCGAAACAACCTTTTTGTGCTGAGCATCGCTCAACTCAAAGCACTGAGGAAGAACCAATGCTGTTATTTTGTTTAAATCTCAGGCAATCAGCCAAAGGTGCTGATTCCCAGAAGCAAAGTTGGATGGAAACTCTGTGCACAATCAGAATTCAGAATAGGAAGCAAGATGCATAGGGCTTCTACGGGTTCTACTGGACATAAACACTCTTTCAGTCTCGCACTGAATTTGACAGAGGGAGATTTGTTTTTGCAAGTCCTCTTGAATCTTGAAGGAGGTACTTTGCAGTGTGGGATATTAGTAGCAAGGACGCTATTATTAGGTGGAGGCCATCGCTACTAGTAACAAGAAGCTGCTAGTTGGTACCCCAACACAAATTAGCAAAGGCTCTTGCCTTAGGCAGCCGAGATTATAGCCGTTCTTCGATGGTTTTTGTGCCTCTGCCGGTGGAGTTGGATGAGAACGAGGACGAGGCTGTCCTGGAGGCGGGTGTGGTTGTGTGCTTGCCCAGGAGGCCCATGCATTTAGACAAAGCACTCACTATTCTACAAATGACCAACAAACAATCTACAATAGTTTTGGTCGATTTTGCTCCAACTCTCACGTTGTATCTGAGTGCAAGCAACTCTTCCACCATGGTTTTGGTCCACTTTGCAAAGAATCCCGGAAGATTCAACCTAGGCCATTGTCTAGTCAAAGTCAATTGGCCGAAGAAATGCTCCCCTCAAAATTGATGAATTCTGTTTGTTTCAAGGCTATGTTGACCGAATCCGAACTGCTTGGGCGTTTCCCTGAGATTAGCCGAGCATTAGAGCTCCAGTTGAGAGTCAGAGACCGAAGGAATGATGCGACTGACACAGAGCCAAAGAGAATCCCGTTTGATTATTTTAGGGGGGAGTCAAAGCCAAACACTCAAAACCACGTGATTGACCCGAAAAGGCCACGCGGCAGCTCTCCCAGTACTGCGCGAAAGCGCGGCAGCGCTCCAGCACCACAACTCCGCATGAGGCCGGGAGGTGACGGGCGTTGTGATGCCCGCATGGCTCATTGAAAAGGCTCACACGTTTCAAAGCCGCATCGTCTGGCTAAGGCACAAGTATAATTATATAATATATATATATACATTATACAGAAGGGCACGCCATGGGGCCTGCGTTTTGGAAACCTGTATCTAGGCTTAAGTTGTACGCAAGTGCACTGAGATTTTTTGGATAATGACACATAAATAACATAGAAATCACACAAAAAATGAAAAAACACTCAAACAAATCATAAATTCTTGAAAAACCAATGACACCAATAAAACCAATTCTCAGAGGTTCTTGGCAGGAACCCCCCCTTCCCCAAGACTTCCCCAGAATGTTTTTTAAAGTTGAGACAGGGTGGCTGCCGGGTGCCGGTGCTGGGCGCTGGCTGTGTGCGTGGTGGACCCAGGGTGCCGGTGCTGGGTGCCGGGTGCCGGCGCTGGTGCTGTGAGCTGGCGGTGCACGTGGGGACAGGGTGCCGGTGCTGGTGCTGGGTGCTGGCTGTGCGCGTGGTGGAGACAGGGTGCCGGCGCCGGTGCCGGGTGCCGGTGCTGCATGCTGGCTGTGCGCCTGCAGAGAGGATTTGTTATGACAATGAGCTGGCTGTGCGCGCTTTCGAGACAGGGTGCCGGTACTGGGTGCCGGTGCCGGGCGCTGGTCCTGTCCACGTGGTGGAAACATGCAGGGTGCCCGTGCTGGGTGCCGGTGCCGGGTGCTGGTGCGGGCTGTGGTGCTGGTGCTGGGTGCTGTGAGCTGGCTGTGCGCGCGGTGGAGACACGGTGCTGGTGCTGGGCGCTGGCAGTGCGCGTGGTAGAGACAGCGGCGCCGGTGCTGTGAGCTGGCAGTGCGCGTGGTGGAGACTGGGCGCCGGTGCTGGCTGTGCGCGTGGTGGATGCGGGTGCTGGGTGCCGGGTGCTGGTATACCGGTGCTGGGTGCTGGGCGCCGTGAGCTGGCGTGTCGGTGCTGGTGCCCGGGTAACAAACCGCCGCTTGCAGCAGTGAAGGGCGACCAAGCGCCGCTTCTGACAATGAGGTGCCAGCAGTCATGGGCCGCATGAACTTATGCACGCAACATCATACGGTGTTGTCGCTCGAGCGTTCTTTGTCTATTAGCGCTGTGGGGTAAGCATGCTACGCACAGAATAGTCGTGCTGGATACGGCACTTTGGCGTTTGTGCACATGCTTTTGTGCGCGTAATCTTACACGCGCAAGATCATACGGCTTTACCGTTCTGCAGATCGTTGCTTCAAGCATGCTACAAAGTCAATAGTGGCGCCGGATACTGCTTGGCCTTGGGCCAATGACACTTACAGGCTTTGCTGTTTGCGCGCATTCTTTTGTGCGCGTGAACTTATACCCGCAAGATCATACGTTGTTATTCCCCAAATAGGGATAGCTATGGGGTTCTTGCGCGCGCTTTCGAAGGGTGTCGGTGCTGGCGCTGGTGTTGTGGTCCTGGGCGCTGGTGCTGTGAGCTGGCTGAGCGCGCGTTTAAGACGGGCGGGCGCTGGTCGGGTGCTGGCGCCGCTGCCGGTGTTGTCAGCTGGCAAAGCGCACCGGCGCTGGTGTCAGCTGACCGTACGCGCTGTGGAGGTGCCGTAAGCTGGCTGCGCAGGCGTACATTCTTGTTCCAGCCAGTCGCATGTCAACAGGTCATGGGATTCTGCGTAGCTATCTGGGTCCATGCTGGCTTACTTCAAGCAACAATGAGTTGCCCGTGCGCTTTCGAAACAGGTTGCTGGTGCTGGGCGCCGGTGCCGGTGCTGGGCAGCTCATTTATTTGAATGAGCACCAGCACCGGCGCCAGCAACCTCTCTCCACCACGTGCGCAGCCAGCTCACAGCACCAGCGCCATGTGCACAGCCAGCTCACAAGCACCAGCGCCGGCGCACGGCGCCCAGCGCCAGTACCAGCAACCTGTCTTCACCGCGCGCACAGCCAGCGCCCGGCACCCAGCACCAGCACCGGCGCCCAGCACAGCTGGCTGTGCTGGCTGTGCGCGAGGTTGCCGGTGCTGAGCGCTGGCTGTGTGCGTGCAGGACCCAGGGTGCCGGTGCTGGGTGCCGGGTGTTGAGGAGCTCATGCGTGGGAGGGGCTTTTTCAATGAGAACCACACTCTGGGCCTTGGAGATGTGATGGTTTTGAGTGATGATGAGAACACGGGCGATGGTGGTGGGGCCAATGAAGATGATCCGCTGACTAAATCCAAACCCGTGAAAGGTGTTTTGCCTTCGATTGAGGGCAAAGAGACATGTGCGGAAATACAAGAAGGCGCTCCTCAACCGCTGCCGGGTGTTCAAAGAGACCAGTGACCGACGGGACAAAGAAGCACCATCGTCAGGGCAGACCCTTGAAATATGTCTGACAGCATTTTCTTAATGTTTGGAGCGTTGGGATTTATATACTTTTGGAAAATAATATTTAGTTCTATAAATATTTTTATATATGTTCCGTGTTAGCCTCTGTTTCTGCTGATTGGCATGCGGATCTGAGGAGTTCGATGAAAGCTTTGGAGTCGATGAACAGCGACTGCGGCTTATAGGCTTATATATATCTACCTCGGTCCTCCTGGGAGCATCAAGATGTGATGGGCTCTATTTTAGAGCAAGCGCAACAAGCATAGCGCAGACTCTAAATGTACTCTCTCTCTCTCTCTCTGTCTCTCTGGCGGGTATATGTACTGTATATGTGTGAAAACGTGTGTATGCACACTGCATACAAAAGTGCAAGTTCTTCCATATCTTCCATTTTTTTGGTCTGGTCAGGGGTTGGAGTGAAGAAGCTCAGGCGAGCTACAAACCATGTACAAGGACATCTGCGAACTGGAGCGTAGCCAGCAGAGCAAGAATCCAGAGAACAAAGGTGTCTACAAAGAAGTGACAACCAAGATTTCCGATGGGTTGGCTCGCTTTAACAATGAGCTGAGCACTGTGAAGATCCATTTTGTTAAGAAATCGGCCGCAAAAAGCTGGGCCAAAAAGGCTCCACTAAAGAGGAGTGAGGATTCTGAATGGATCTGCCTTGGGGTTGAAGCCTTTGATCCGCTGTGACCAACGCAGTGGATGAAGTACATAGAGGGTTCCTGTAAGCCCAGTTGAAGCGTTGGGTTTACACTGGGGGATTTGCTGACAGCGAACGCAAAAAGAGTTTTGGCACTCACCTTGGCACGCGCAAGAGTTTCGACACCCAAAAACGATTACCTTTGCAAAAGAGTTTTAGCACTGACTTTGGGATAGCAAATTTTTGCTTGCAGGCCGGGACAATGTCAGGCTAATCCCGCAGGACTATGTTGCTGCTCGCTGTTCATGAGGGGGAAGGTTATATAGTTATATATAGCATGTAAAGACTGTGCATGGCTGTGCATTGCAAGTTCGTTTGGAATGAAATTGACCTCTTGAAGAATGCATTCAGTCTTGGATATCAAGCTGCAAAGAAAGAAAGCGCTTTTCACAGCATCCCAAATGGAATAAAACATAATTACTTTCACATGTAGAAGAAATTGTGTTTTATTCCTTTGCCAAAGAATGAAACATAATTGGTTTCAGGATTGGTGAAACCATTTGTGTTTCATTCCACTGGCCGGCTTCTGGGGTTGAAATAGGGCGCAAAACAAAATACATGCAAATTTGTGTGTTCAGATTTCATCTTTCTCTCCAAAATTAGGCCCCTATGTAAAAGGCCTGTATACTTATATAGGCGTGAATATACACCTTCCTGACAAGAGCGTAGCTTTGAGTATCAACACCTTTTAAACACAATGTGCTTTTCCAATATGATGTGGCCACTGAGGCTCACAATGCTGAAGTTGTTGCCAAACACGCAGCAGCCCTCTCCAGGACTATGCTCCCTGGAATCCCCGGCTACATCGAGATGCAACAGCTTGGAGTTGCAAATAGTTTGAGAACAAACAAAGAAGAAATGTTCATCCAGCAAGTACTCAACATTGGAGCTCCTATAAGGGTTCCTGTTACTGAGCTACTCTTGCAGTCAACGCTAGGGGCAAAAACACATTGCCTCGAGATTTGCGCGGTAGGGGAGCACGTGGCTACAAACTACCCAGAAAAGTTTCTGGCTGGCTTCAGTTTGCCCCAAGAGGTTGCCTTTAGACGGCGCTTGGTCAAATTTTGGTGCGCGTTTCAACGCTACTATCCAAATCATCCAGTATATCGTGACCATGGCCACCACCTATATGCGTGCTTGCCGGTGAAGATACATTCTGATGAAGGCGCTGGGCTACGCCGCGCAGGTGCCTATCAGTTCAGCTGGGGTCCTGTTTCACATTCAGATTTGTCAAGCCGGCCCCGGTATTTCTTCTGGTCGTGCGTGAACCTTGAAACCTACAAAAAGGCACATGGTGGTTTTGAGCGAGGAAACACGGTTCTCGATGAGCTATGCGAGCATTTTGCGAAGCAACTTGCGGATGTTTATTGGAACGGTATTGACGGAGGTGTTTTGGGGAAAACCTACCTAGTGACAATATCTCATGAAGGAGACCTACCTGCGCAAGCTAGGGCGCATCATGTCAAAAGAAACTTCAATTGCGCTCCCAACGAGATGTGCCCATGGTGCTTAGCCAATGATAGCGCCATACCATATACAGACATTCGGGAGCAAGCTGCATGGCGAGAAACTGTGAGCAAAGAAAGACCATGGACAAACCCAAGCCCTTTCCACATTGTTCCAGGTGGTGCTCATGAGTCGTTTTTGGCAAAGGATTTTTTTCCACACATGTCACCTTGGAGCGGTACGTGCTTTCAGCGTCAACCTGCTGTGTTTTCTGGTTGCTCACGATGTCTTTGCGCCCTGAAACAATTATGTTGGGTACGTTTTTCTCTGTATATCTAATTTTGCCAGTTTCCTGACACCTGAAGAAAAGAAGTTTTGTCTCAATTCGTTGATCTCCTAAGGATGGTGGGAGCGTGCCAGCCAAATTATCTGCAGCTTATGAAGCTTTTGCACAGTTTTGCAAGCAGCGGCGAGAAGTGCCTATGGTCAAACACTTTACAAAAGATAACTTGTCCTGGTCCTCGCTGAAAGTGTATCCAGAATCGAGCTTTAAAGGTTCTGACGCGCGCCTTCTCTTGGCATTTTTGGCGCACCAAATGGCCAACCCACTCTAGTGCTGGATGAAATTGGGATGGCTGCCTACATAGCTGCAAAAGCGACGCAAGACTTTTTGATTTTGGTGTTTTCCGAGCCCATTCCTTGAAAGGAACCAGGGCTTGGAATGCGTAGCGCTTTTGAATTTGTACCTGCGCAAGGCATATTTTTGCGCAAAGGCTTGCTTTGAGAGCAAGTTGTTTTATTTCAACCTGACTCCGAAGTTCCATTACATAGCGCATGTATCGGTTGACCTGCAGGTTCAACTTTCGTTGTCTGGTGACAATGATGTGGTGCTCAACCCTGCACTTTTTGCAACCCAGGCTGAGATTGGGTTGGGAAGTCTTGCAACATAGCCCAAACTGTGCGCCCGAGGAACGTTGCAAAGCGATCTGCTCAGAAATGGCTGACAATGGCCAAACTTGAGTGGGAGAAAGGTCGCCCTGCGAAGTAAAAAGGATGTGGCATACTGCAACAATTCCAGTCTCTTGTGCTTTTGTGCTGAGTTTTTTCTTTTGTACCCTGGCGGGAAACTTTGTTTGTATGTCCGCGCCCGCACGTTGTGTGGGGTGTGTCTTTGCGTTGTCTCTGTTTTGTGTCTTTGCGTAACTATGCGCGCGTGCATGGCCAGTCCAAAAACCACAGCAAACAACCAAATCATCCTATATATACGACAACAACAAAATGTTTAATAACATTTTTGGTGGCATGAATGGGCAGAAGTTTCAGAACATTTCAACTATAGGAAGTCACTGTTCTTGGCAGAGCCAACCAGTCAGGCAGGGCAGTGTGTGGCAGGACAGTGCTGTGAGCACAGGCTCTTTGGAGGCCCATGTCTGGAGGTTATATAAGCCTTTTGGAAATCACTCTGTGGCAGAGCCACCCAGTGTTTCTGATGTTTTCTACTGTGAATAACATTTTTGGTCAAAGCAAGAATCGGTTGAACCAATTCTTTTTGGTTCCATGGAAGAACTGGGTTGGAACCAAAAAAAGACATATGCAGTCATGTCCAGGTATCTGTTAAGATGATTCCGAGAATGCCCGAAAAGTTTTTTTGTTGACATGTTTGGCCAACGTTTCGGGCGTTGGAGATATTGGATGTCTCGGTGTCCGGTATCTAGAAAATTGGCTTTGGGCTGGCTGGCTGCAAAGACCATTCAATATGAATTCCATGAGTCTCGACAGTTCTTTCATACTGTTCATGCCTTGTACTCCCCCAAGAAATATACGAGGGAAGCCCCCAATCCCTGTGCCGAAGTTCTGCTTCGCCAGAAAGCGCTAACTGCCAGACAACAGAAAGACCAGATGAGGCGTGAGGAGGACCAGCCAACCGACCAACCAGCCGACCGACCAAGCAAGCAAGAGACCTAGCAATTAAGCAAGCGAGCGAGTGAGCGACCAACAACACGCAACCATGATCAAGCGTGCGACAACCAACAACCAACACCCACCATGCAACCAAGAACCTTTGACCGACAACTAACCACCAGCGACCAACAACAGCTACAACAACCACCAACATCAGCTAGCTGATTCTGGCAAGCTGCCCTGCTGTATCCTGCTGTGCAGGTTGTTGTGGCCGCCGTCATAAGGCGGATGCCTTTTTTGTGATGGCTGTGGAGCACTCCTAAGGCGGTGTACGAAGCAACAGGGGTTCTTTCCAGTTTGTTCTGGCCAGTTGCGATTCGAGATTTTGATCACCATGTGGCAGCACGCCTTCCTTGTGGGTGTGGGTTACTTTGGAAGCAGTGTTTTCGGGTTGCGACGAGATCAGGCGATTTTGCTCCTGAAGCAACGAATCCTACCTATAGGCCAAGAGAAGCCAAATGCCAGAATAGTTATATTACAAAAAACAGTTCTCGGTGTTCTCTCTTGTTCAGCAACTATGAACAACAACCGTAACTGTGGATACAATGAAACGAACTTTCAAACATGCACGTTATACCAACAACCCAGTGAGCTATCTCTAAAACCCGAAAAACCAAGTGGGATACCAAAACAGCTTTCGTTCTTTGGGGTCAACTTCCGTTTGGTCCGTTTCTTGGCGCCTATCTTTTTGGCCTCGCATGACCCCTATCCTTAGCTGACTCCGGGGTTTCACCCAATCCGTCCAATAGGTCACACCCCTCATTTTTTCCATAGTACCTCACTAAATTCCCATACCCTCGTAGCCATATAGTGAATGACCCCAAGGATTAATGTACACGCTGTTGGGTTGAGGTATGTTTTGGTCGTTTTTGGTTTGTTTGAAGAAGAAGAACAATTACAAATGAGGGGGGCCCTCCCCCTGCTAATAGGTCCCTATATTGTACTGTAAGTAAATTCACATTCAGACTCAAGTCTGATTTAGTTATAACTTACTTCTAGTTCAACTCTAGTTTAATTCTAAATCAAGTCTAATCCATGTCTATTTTCATTCTATTTGGGTGGAAATTTATATTTAAATCAGTTTTAATTCAAGTTCTAATTCACTTCGAATTCGAACCCATCTCAGTTCTATTTCATGTCAGTTCACCTCAAATTAAATTGTAACCGAAGCCTAATTTAATTCTTCCACGCTAAATAATTCTAACTCAGTTAAGAGGAGTTTAAATTCAGTTCCACTTTAACTCAAATTCTAAATTAGTTCCTTCTTGGTTCTACTTTAATTCTAATTTGGAGCAAACTTAATTCTAATTCACTCCTAACTAAATTCCAATGTAGCTTTATTTCACATCTAATAGACTTTTAATTTGATTATCACATATGGAGGGCAGGGGCAGGCTAGCACTTAAAAGGTCTTTAGAAACCAAATGCTACAAAGCCTTGTATTTTACAGTATTCTCTTGCACTGTCAGCGCCGGGAACTTGGTCAAAACACTGTTGTTGAGTAGATAGCTAGATTTTTCTAAAAGTAATCTCTAGGCTCTTGGAACAATCATTTCTATATTAAAAATATTTTTCGGAAGAACTTTTCTTAAACAAACTTTCCATTAACATTCTGGGAAAATGATTTTTATAGTTAAAAAAACGTATACAAAAACTGTCATGTCAATAGCTGTCCTCTAGATCTTTGTGAATGACACTTTTTACAATAAAAACTATGTATACAAACTTTTTATTTCAAAAGGTTTCCTCTAGATTCGTGGGAATAGATTTTCTTTATTAAAAACTTTTATTTCAAAAGTTTTCCTCTAGATATCTGTGAATGTTGACTTCTATATTGATTTTTAAATAGAAACTTTAATTTTTAAAGTTTTCCTCCGGATCTCTGGGAAAATGGATTTCCCAGATATGTTTTTTAAAATTTATGTTTGTAAAACATTTTTGCAATATCAAACAATCATGCAAAACCAAAACACAGGCCCCATGGCGCGCACTCTCTCTCTCTCTCTCTTCATACATTTGTTGGATCTTGTTGGTGAATGCGTTGCTGCTGTTGTTGAAATGGGCGGATTGGTGACCCAGGTGTTGGGGAATTTGTTCGGGCTGTGTGGTTTCTAGCCGTGGCTTGGAGTATACGGCTCCATGGTTTTACTGCCCTGAGAAGGAAAAACGCATATCCAGTGGGTAACAGGCCTTTTGATTCTGCCAGATTCAAATTCAATCCTTACGTGCCTTTGTGAGCCTTGCGCTTGTTTTGCGCCAACTAGCGCACCAGTGGTTCCAAGCGTTGTCAAACCGAACCCCCTTTTTGCAATCTATTTTTGCTGCTTGCCTGACTTACTGTAGATGTTTGTCACCATTTTCAATTCCTGCGCAGCTGTGGTCGGAATGATACTGGGACCCTTTGTCACAGGTTTTTTGAGGCGCCCCCGCACGTTTGGGAAGCATCAATCTTTTGCCTTGTTCGCTGGGGCCGTGCTTGTGACCTGTGCAATTTAGGCCGACCTGCGCGCCCTGCTCCAGCAGCGTGTGAGCACACTGGCGGAGGAACTTTTACGGCAAGAGCTGGAGCTGCAGGTGCGCAGCCGCCCAATCGCTGGGAGCTCTGAATATCTGGCAACAAGGGTGTTCGATCTATTCCGTATTTTGGCCGTATTCGTATTGGCCTATTCCAAATGTAATTTTTTCATCTTCATTACAAAATAAAGGACTGCATTTCAAGATTTCAACATCTCACAAACTACGGTGAATCTAGGTACCACCTAAAGTACCAAAGGACGTATTCAAAGGAAACCACCGCACGGATTCTGGAGGTCAAACACCCTGTAACTGGCAGAATTGGGCACCAGGAGCTGCGGCGCACCAGCAGCGCAATGCCACCAGAGGTGGACGAGTTGCGAGAAGAGAGACTTGGCCCGAACCGAAGAGAGGTTGGTGGCCGTGGTTGGAATATTTAAATTTAGCCGCAGCCAAGGCAATGCGGCTTGCCTTTGAAACCAGTCGATTTCGTGAGTTTGGCTGCTAGTCACGCGACCGAACCTTGGATTCTACCAAGTGGGTCACCTAGATCACCAAAACACTCTCCACTGAGGAATGCGCTGCTGGCTCAGCGGGGGGCTGAAATTTGCGAGGAGGCTGCCAAGCTGTCAGCAGAGCGGGGAAGCTTGGAAGAGGTGCAAAAGCAAAAGGAGGAAGAGGTGGGCAGCGCGTCTTTCTGGACTGATGGGAGGATGTGGTAATTTTGGGTTTCAAAATAAGATATCTATATTATATAAACTTGGGGGATTGTTGACCAAAATTTCTAGGCCACGTGTGGCCACGTCGTGTAGTCTGGCATGCGACATACTGCCAATTGTGGGGAACACGCCCTTCCAAGGCTTCTTCTTTGTGGTGCCTGTGTCATGTTCAGAAAGTTTCCACCTGTCCCGAGCCTCAGGCGTGGCCATTTCCCCATCCTGCTTGAGCTGTGATCCAAATCTGTGGGGCCACTCCAATCTTTGCACACACCCATTCTGTACCACCGTAATTCATGTCCAATGGAGGCTGCGCACTAAATGGTTAGAACTGCGTTGGGCTTATTTCTCCTTCCACCAGATCGTGCTGATTAAAGAGTCTTAATCACACTTCTCGACAGCATCAAGACTGCTTTTTTAAAAGAAGAATGCCCTTAGAAGGCCCCAGGTTTTGGCAATGGCTGCTGATGGTAGTAGAGGTGAAGGAGGAGGAGTAGGAATATTAGGAGCAGCAGCAGCAGCAGCAGCAGAAGCAGCGCTACTGCTACTACTGCTTCGACGGCCACGAAAATCGCAGGTGCAGCGGCTGCAAGCTGAGAGAGACGCCTTGAGCGCTCAGGTGGACAGCGCTGCTCAAGCAGAGGCCACTGCCCGTGGCGTCCAGGAGCCGCTTGCCACAGAATGAATGGTGGGGCGAACAGCACGCTTTGACTGTCGAAAAAGGGCAACTTTGCTCAAGTTCCCTCCAACCCATCTTCCTATTTTGTGGAGGCAACTGTCAATTGCTTCGCAACCTTGCGAATGCGATCTTGTGACCGTTACCTTCCTATGTTGACCTTTGGCTCATGTTGAGGTCGGCGCTTAAAGCGCTGGATCTGGAGCGGAGACAGAGCCAGGACGAAGGGAAGACGGAGCATGATCCCTCTAACTCTATGTCCTTGCATCTGGCGCTTGATCGACATCCCCAAAATGACATTTGAATGGATTTGATTCAATGACTCTGGTAGACACCCTGCAGAAAGTAGTCTTGCATACCGAACTGCCAGGGGTTGTAACTGCTTGAGTAGTAACTGCTTGGCAGATGGATCATCGCTACCGACACGGGGGTATGCGCCCAGACCCCAAGGCCCTAGTTCCCTTCCCTAATCTGGGACAAGCACTAGAAATGTTTGTGCTACTGATAATGCTTCAAATGTTGGTGGGCGGTGAGCGGCTGGGCTGGCAAAGCATTGAATAGTTCTTTCCAGATTTAGGAGTTAGTTAGAGTAGGCAAATGACCATCAACGTTACATCTCCCACCTGAGAACAGTATGGGAGTTTGGACAGCCTTTTGGGCATGGAAGAGAGGTTGGAAGTACCTCAGCTCACATGGTGAGGAACAGAAACAAGACTTTTCTTGATTGTCTTGACTGAAATGCCTTTTGAAAGAGCCAAGAAGAGTCAGTCGCCTCCAATTTGCCTGTGCTCATTGCCGGGAATTGAATTCTTAATCGTTGGGGCGATTCTTTTGCCACCCAAAAAACTGTTTGCATGAGGTCACCTAGGCACGTGCAACTCATTTGAATAGGTTGCCTTGAACCTTCTCTCCACCAAGGCACACTTATTCTATTTTGGGATTTGTTGAGTTCATTCATTGTCATCTCCACTTCTGCAAGAAAGAACCTCCACATCTGCAGGACTTGGCCAAAGCGCTGGGCACGGCTTTGCAGCAGCGGCACGCGGCAGCTGAGGAGGCGGAGCGCCAACTGGTGACCTATGAGCGAGAGGTGCGGCACGGAGGGTGCGGGCTGGGTTGGCTTTGATGGCTGGTGTGTTTCTTTGTCATGTCATGTAGTGAGAGGTGAATGGAAGACATGTGGAAGTCGCAAACAAGGAGAAGTTGACGAAAGGCCTTATTTCAGGGAGTTGGGGTGAAAACACTCATCAACTCCGTTGTCAACTTTCCATTGAGGCGCTTTCTTACCCTTTTGGACCTGGACGGACCGTTGTCAACGGTACCGTTCCACCTGAGGTCACCCACCTCGAGGCCAGCAGTGCAGCGGCCACTGCAGAGGCTCAAGAGTCCCAGGGCGTTCGAGAGGCCGAGGCCTCGCGCAGGCGCGCGGAAGGAACGGTGCGGAATTGAAGATTGACGCGAATGGACGTGAATTGACCAGCAAGGTCTAAACTCTAGGCTTGTAAGATACTCTGTTTAAGATACTCTGTTGCAGTCTGTTGAAAGGCGGACAAAAGCCGAGCTTGGAGGCATTGAAATCTCAAGGCGGCCTTCTTTAGCAGTAGCTGGGAACTGCATCGTCGTATTGTGGTGTCCATGAGGTACTCGTATGACGGTATGACGTATGGACATACAAGCTAAAAAACATATATATATATATATGTATAGTATTATATATATAGTAATATATATATATATTCATACAACTCTAGTATAGTCTTAGGCATTCTCAAATTGCCTTTGCTAATCACGCGGGCTCTGTGTTTGAGGCGCCAGCTCGTTCAGCAGTTGGAATCACAGCTGGAGCAGCAAGCACAGCTGCAGCAAGGCCAGCAGCAGCAGGAGAAACTTGAAACAAGCCTTGGGCGATACAGTTACTAATAGCAATGGTCTCCAACCTACTAGCGATGGCGTTGGGCGATACAGTTGACGGACTGAGACCTAGAATCACGATGATTGTCCATGCGGGACCGTAGTATGAACGCAACAGATTCCTGGATGGGGTAGTGATGCAGCATGTAAGCTACTAGAAACAAGTGCCACGCTAGTAGTAACAGGTGCCTTACTAGTAGTAACAAGAAGCTACTAGGGGCTCCTGGCCTTACTAGGAGCATGCAGCATGTATATGCGTGTCTCAAGGTCTGAACAGGCTTCCAAGATGTGCTTGTCATGCTTTTCCTTGTGGGAAGCTCTCCCTAGGGCTGACCGGCAGTGTTGGCAAGGCTTATCGACCGCAAAGATCCAAATGAATCAAATGAGCTCCATCCGATAGAAGTATCTTGAAGCGCGTGTTTCGGCCCGGTCTCGGAGGAGCAACAGCTCTACGAGGAGCAAAAACAGCAGCAAAAGCAGCTGGCAGAGGTGTCTACTACTTCGCGCGAAGCTTCGACATGAACGGGCAGGGCAGAATGAAGCTCAACAGTAACAAGGTCAGGAACACTTGGTTTCTTTGGGGCACGTGCTGGAACTCTTGAGGAGACCACAAACGCTTGGAACCGAACCATTGGATCGAAAGCACGTCGAACGGACAACCATTCCGTGATTCGGCCAGGCGCGTGCTGAAGCGCGGCGGTTGGAAGCAGCAGCTCAGCGCCTAGCGAGAGAGCTGGCGGAAAGTGAACAGTCCCGTGGAAGCATGGAATTTCTTTTGTTTGTATTCTACAAAAACGAAAACGCATCTGATAGTGTTCCCAAGTGTTTCCTTAAGCAGGTGTTGGCTTATGGTTTTGATTGGTTTTGCAATGATTTTGGTCTTCCAGCAACTTGTGCCCAAAGCTTTTTGAGACGATTTGAGCCAAAGGAACGTTGATGTTGTTTGTAGAACTGAACATGTTCTGGGAGACTGGAGACTGTTCTGTTAATTTTCAGAAACTACTGGTTGTTTATTCAAAAAAGGTGATCCTGCGGTTCGAACACGATCCACATTTTGTCAACTTGGACTTTGACCGTGGGTTGGCTAGACTAGCTAGATTCCTTAAGTAGTGGTGAATGGACTTGTGGGCGACTGAACGTTGGGGTCACTGTGTTTGCAGAAAGGTAGCGAGGAGTTGACAAAAGCTGCAGTGGGGAGTGTGCAGAACTGCTCAGGAAAGCAGAGGAGGGCGATCGAAAGGCCATGGCTGTGGCCAAGGAACTCATGGAGACACTCGACTGCGCTGGCCCTCATAGAGTGCCGGCCCTCACATGGGGGCAACTCACCCAGCAGACTATTGCATATCCTGAGCCGTTACTGTCCGACCGTTACTTTCAAGCAGACGCAATAACTTTTGACCGATTCCTAAGAACACCTAACAACTACCGCATTTCCACGTCCGGAGAGCAATCGGATACTTATATACAGTACTCACAGTGACTCATGAATTTTACATGTTTGAAACAGGAGGGAGTTGTGAGCACCTTAAACACATAGCGATGCCATATTGGCCCTTTTCGCCGGCATATCCCACTGTACCCAACTTACCCAAGACTTCAAGAGGTTCGCCACGTTCCCAGACGCTATCGTGCTGAAGAGAACTCCGGACAAGGAGACATGCATGCATAGACATCAGACATTTGTGCATATCTCCTTGGCATAGACATCCTTTGACAAATGTCTACAAATCAGCAAGAATCATGTCACGTCATCGATCAACGCGATCGTGGCACGTCTGAGGATCGGCCGCAGCGTGGGTGGCCTGCGCTCTGAGCTGAGTGACGCAGCTCGTACCGGCCTCGAGGCGGCGCAGAAGGCGGGTCCGGTGGGCTGCTATCGAAGAGGGAAGGTCTATGTTTGCTTTGGAATTCTCTGCAAGATGTTCAAGTCGCGAGGCTGAGCCAACTTTAGAATCCCAAGGTTTGAAAGGCTTCTGACTGGACTGGATTAGACGTTGGATCATGGCTCCAAGCAATTTGGATTCTTTCTGGACCATGGCAAACTTTTTCTTTCCCAAAGCTTGATAGCGCAGGAGCAGCAGGAGCAGGAGCAGGAGCAGCAGCAGCAGCAGGAGCAGGAGCAGGAGGAGGAGCAGGAGGAGGAGGAGTAGCAGTAGTAGTAACAGTAGTAACAGTATTAACAGTAGTACCAGTAGTACCAGGAGTACCAGCAGTGCCAGCAGTACCAGCAGTAACAGCAGCAGCAGCAGGAGGAGGAGGAGTAGTAGTAGCAGTAGTAGTAGTAGCAGCAGTAGCAGTAGCAGTAGTAGGAGTAGGAGTGGCAGTGGCAGTAGCAGTAGCAGTAGCAGGAGCAGGAGCAGGGGCAGGGGTAGGGGTAGGAGTAGGAGTAGGAGGAGGAGAAGGAGTAGTAGTGGGAGTGGGAGTGGAAGTGGAAGTGGAGCAGCAGCAGTAGCAGCAGCTGCTGTTTGTGTTGTTGCTGCTGCTGCTGCTGCTGCTGTTATCACCGTGCTTGTCGCCGTCATCATCATCATTGTTGTTGTTGTGGTGGCCGCGGTGGTCAGTTCGTGGTCCTGGTTGTTGTTGTGGCAGCTGTGGTTGTTGCTTGTGGTTGTGGGTTTTGCTTCGTGCCGCCGACCCTGCAAAAGGCTGTGTTTGATAAACTCCTTTGCCCTGAGGATCCACAGCAGGATTACACCATGTTGTTCCTTGTTGAAGCTGACGCAAATCCACTCCAGACTTCAAACCGCGCAGGTAACATTGTCCAAGCGTCTGAAACCGTGTAGAAAGAGCTTTTGAAGCTCTGACAGGCACACTCGGGCGCATTTGTCATCGGCGGAACGTTGTTGTTGTTGTTGCTGCTGCTGCTGCTGTCGTCGTGGTGGTGGTGGTGGTGTGGTGGTGGTGGTGGTTTCCTTGCTCTTGCTCCTAGTCCTAGTCTTGCTGCTGCCGCCGCCGCCACCCACGTTTGTGCTTTGCAGCCTTTTTGCTCTCAAGTCGCTTTTCTTGTGTGGAGGGCATCTGTTTCTCCCATGGGAGGCGACAGGTGCTTTGCAGCAGCGCCTTGCTGCGAGAGGAGTTGGAGAGAGGCTTGGCCAGCGAGGGTGGGCACGAGTGAAAAAGGTGCCACCTTCTGCAACACTTCTGCAGTGTTAAACTTGTCGCATCACCTATGGGGTATACCAGCAAGCCCTTCAGCCTGTTAGCCTCTTGCATAATTTGCACCGGCACTTGGCACTTGTGCAGCCGTCGAGTCGGCTTATAAGAGAGTGGTCCGAACGATGAGTCGTGTGTGAGCACCCTGTCAAATCATGGAGCCTTCAACAGTCGACTCCCGACCAGTCGACTCCCGACCAGGGTTTCCATTCGTTGTTTTGGGTCATATTTGATGGCATACTTAATCGACTTTACCTTCACCCCCTTTTTTGTATATATCATCCATATACATATGTATTCATGTATTTATACTTATACATATACATATATATATATACATGTCAAACAAAATCCTGGAGATTCCTAAAGATTGTGGGCAATGCTGCCCTGTCAGGTCTCCCCTGGAGGAGGAACGGGCATTGAAGGAAGCACTGCGGAGCGCTTGGGAAAACGAGGCCTCAGAGCGCCGGCAGACCGAGGAGAAATTGTTGCTTGGCAGGTGAACCTTGAAACAAAGAGGTTTTTTAAAGCCCGCTCCTACCCTCATTCAGTAGGCGCACGCCTACTTATATAAGGAGGTAAGGGAGTAAACTTATCGCTACTTAAGCTACTAGTATGGACCCAGGATAGCTCATGCTTCTTCAAGGAAGCTCCCCCGCCGCCCTAAAGGGAACTTCCTTGAAGAAGCGCTCGCACTATACAATGGTTACAATGACTAATGATTTGGTTCCTAGAATTTTAGGGAAACTTAGCCATCCCCTGACCCCTGAGGGCTGAGCTATGTGGTTGATTAATTCAACCATTTGAGGCATCAGTGTTGGATGGTGTTTCGTCATTGGGTGTGACTCAGGCATGACTTGAACCATTGAGGTTGCAATATCCTCTCCTGCTGGTCAGCTTGGTTTGCTCAAATCTCGAGAAAACTTTTGGTCGTCCGAACCAAATCAAGTAGAACATTCAGCTGCCCACCTGCAGCGACGGTTCTCGGGAGCTTCCCCCAGCCCACTTGGCGCCCAATCAGTTGATGGATGATTTGCCAACATACAGTGCAACATTTCGGTCTGAGGCAGAAGGCTGAAGCGTTCTGGCGGCGCTTGCTGGAGCAGTGGCAATCCTTGGCCTTGCTGGCACGTCGATGCAGGAAGCTTGGCACACTTGTGTTCCGCACACGTGGACAGGAAGACGGACGAGGAAGATTGGTTTCTGCCGACTCATATAGAATTGAAGGTGCATGAATCATTGGTAAGGGTGCCTGTTTGGAAGTCTTGTGGTGGATACAATCCGGCTTTTGGCCCTGTTCTTGTGCACATGGATAAAAGATATAAAAACAATTTGGTCCTAAAACAGACACAACTGCAAAGGGGGACCGTAACATCTGAACCTTCGTTAGCTGGCTCCAAAGTTGGACCCAGGGACCTGCAGATTTGGTTCTTTTAAAAAGGTACCTTTTCCCTTTTTAACTGCACCTTCGGGTGATACTCTTGAGCCGTGGCTATCCACGAAGTTGGTTGTTGCCTCCTTTGCTTCGCCCGCCGACCTGAGATTGGCGTTTCACGCCAAGGAATGAGGTTCCCCTGCCGATTCCAGACGATTCCATGTGGGAGGAGGACGCACCAGGCGAGCACTCAAACACAGACCAGACACGAAACCAAGCAGAAAACGTTGAATTGCGAGTGGTTTGTCGGAGTCAACCTACAAAGAGACATTTGTAGGGGGTGTGGGTCAAAACTTCTTGGACATTCTTTGACTCTATTTGGGGATCCCTATCGAAGGGTTGAACCACACTCAGTTGGTTCAACAATTGTCGTTGTCGCTCAACCAAATGGTTGGGTTGGCAAGGTGGTCTGGTGGGAGTAGACCGTTGGACAGGTGCGTTTTCTTTGAGTGAGTCGTGAGTCGTTGGACAAACCCTGAAGTCTCCAACTTTTTGCATTTAGGCCGGTTTCAAGGCATGCCACCCTATCGTCATCCTCATCCTTTCAATCCGTGTGCACCATGTTCCACAGTCCTTCTCGTGCCGTTCGCAGGTGCTATGAAGGCTTTGATCGACTTCTTTGAGGCTTTGTTCCGACGAGACGAGGCCATTTCGTAGGCTGCGAACACGGCTGCGAATGCACGAGCGCTGCGAATGCACGGAGCCCTGCGACGAAAAGCGCCAAACAGATCAAATGGATCACGCAGATCACAGCGGCCAAGCGCAGAAACGAATCACTTCTGTTGGCCAGGTGGATGTGTGCAAATCGGGGGCACAGGACACTGTTGGTAGAACACGGATTAAGTCCCATCAAATCAATCCACACAGCCCCACTGAGCAATCATAGCACAAAAAACACTTGGAGTATGAGTATGAGTTTGCTGCCTGTGCCATTTCCTTAGCACTCAGCAGCCATGGATTCCTGGGCAATGCTCGCCACTGTGGTCTCTATTCTGGTCCCTGTGCATTTCTATGTGTCAAAGGCTGATGCGGAAGAGCTGCTACAATGGATCTTTTCTGTTTTCCATGTGGAGGATTTTGAGGTCGATTCCTTAAAAGAATCCCGAATCGAGGAAGAGATGATGAAACTTCGTCAGAGGAACTACAAGTTGTTTACCCGCTGCTGTGCTCATCTTGCTTTTGTGGTTGGCATCACTTTTGCCCACCAAGCGATCAAAGCACCAGAGCTCAACACCATTGCCTGGACTGTTTGTTCCATTCTGGGGTATACACACCACATGATGTTTGGGCAGGGCGTGATAGAACTTACACCCTGTCGTCTTAAGTTCCTTTGCTGGCTTTCGCATTTGATGGCGTTCTTTCTATTTATTTGTGCAGGCCTTGGTGGGAGTGCGGGTGCGTTTTCCATGGTGCGAGGCTTTCTGACCGCAGTTCGCTTTGTGGTGATACTTACATTTCTCGACCCATCAGTGTCCATACCTTTTCAAGTGATGTACACCACACTGAACATCCTCGTGTATGTGTTTTGCATCGAACAGTCTAGTGTGCCATGGGCACCTTTTTGCTGCGATGAGTTCTTCACCTTGGTGATCACCATCGCCTGCTCAGCGTCCATCGACTTGTTGCTGCGAGGACGAGTGGTTGCAAAGTTGGATTCTGCTGACGCAGAGTCCTTGGTCTCCAGTTTCCGGAGGATGTTGCGAGGGGTTTGCGATGGTGAGCTACTCTTGGACAGTCAGATGAAGGTGGCACAGGAAAGTGACTGCTTGAAAAATTTGATTCTGACCGATGTGAGCCTTATGGGCCGATCTTTTGAGCATTTGCTTGCGGACAAATCCGAGCAGCAGCGCTTCAGTGAATTCATTGACGCATCCACAAGAAAAAGCAAATGTAGAGCACTACATTCCTCACCAGATCCCTGTGCACATCCATGCTTGCGGCTCTATTTGCGTGGATCAGCAGGCATACGAGTTGGTGCCAACATCTACCATGTTGCCGTCCCAGGCCTCTTCGGTGCTTTGAAGCCGTACCATCTCATCGCCTTCAAAGAGGATCTTGATTCTTGCCCGCCAGACGCTGCGGAGGATGCAGTACCGACACAACTTCTGGCGAACAGCTTGGAAGCACAGATGAAGCCTGATGGGCATTCAGCAACATCTGAAAGCGCAGTAAGCTCATGTCATTGTTGCCCGGAGCTGCAGCAGATGGCCTTGCTTGTAGACTTGGACACAGAGCTCCACGACGTACAAGAAGCACGCTTGAGGTTTCGACGTCAAGGAAGCGACGTGCCTTCTAGGCCACAGTCCAACATGCCAAGTGTGCGGACACTTGTGATGACCACAGACTGGCCAGAAGTTGAGGAGAATCTGCAGAGATTCTCAGAGTTGTGCTTGAACGACCCAGGGACACAGCCCCAGATTTTGAAGAAGCAATTGCCATTGCAGCTGCCGATGGGTGAAAGGGCGATTGCCACAGAAGCCTTTCTTCAGCCACACCCAAGGCCACGGAAGGTCTGGCTGCATTTGACCGGGCTCCGGCCTTGGAAAGCTCGGCAAAGCATGCGTCTTTTGAATCGAATTCAAGAAGGTGAACGAGTCAACCATCGCCAAAGGGAAACGGGGACTGACTAGGCTGACCTCCCCACTAGTAATACTGATGCAGGTATGTACAGGTTGGTTCTTCCGACCTTTCTTTCTCTCTTGGTCCGGTGGTGAAGTTCCATCATGGGCACTGTACTGCGACAGAAGACCAAAACAGGTTGCTGAAACAGTCAGCAGCAAAGCAATCTCTATTGCAGACTGAAGGAGCAGTCCATCATGCTTTGTACCACCGAATCGATTCATTTGGCCGCTTGCAGGCAATTGTTAATGGTCATCGTGTTCCATCCTTGCAACTTGGCTTGGAGAGGATCCTTGAGTGAACCATTCACGGTCCGGTTCACCAGTTCTTCCTATGGCCGGTTGAAACACATCATATGCCTTTTCGTTTTGGAGCTCTCACCGCGACTCCTGAGACTTAGCAAGCACGGCATGGATCTGAGAACACCACATCTCCCTTGCAGTCCACAAGAATGACGGTCGTTTGATGTTTCTCACTGACACTGACATTGAGACACAGAAAGTTACATTATAGAGTTGGGTGCCGTTTCTGGGAACAAAACTCTGGCATCCAGTCACTCTACAGCCCCCCACTGGTGCGCAGCTTGCTTCTTGGACAAGAAAGAGTACTGTATTCATCGGTTGGGTCTAGGTGAGTGGTGTTTTACAGTGTTTAACTTGAGACGCATTCCCAAGGCGTCTGAACCACCATGCCATGCGTCAGTCAGTGCTGAGAATGAGACTCAGTCCTGTGTCGACACGGTGACAGGGTGACCGTCTCCAATAAGGTCGGCTTCCCCTGCACGCGTGACTCGTGCATGGAGATGAGGGCAACAGGCAGAGAGCTGTTTCCGGCAACAGTGTCAGACGGCGATCGAGTCGAGATGTTCCTGAAATGAAGAAATGAATTGTGTGTGGTGGATCCCAGCATGATCATAATGTACCATGATTACACATCATACATCATAATACAGTAATACAGTATACATCAGTAGTATGATATATATATATATATCCTGATTGGAAGGTAGACCCGACCCTACCTTAACACTGTCTTCTTGAAAGGCTCTTGAAATTCCGGCAAAGGCCCCAACAGGAGGAAGCATGGCGCACTCTGCTCAATCAGGAATAATAGCCGCTTGCAGAGCAATCCTTCACCGAGTTGGTGTTTGGTTGGATTTTCCTTTCATGGAGAGCCTGGTTTTTGACACACCATGACAGACCTGATTGCTGATGGCTCACAATGTCATGTTTCGACCCAGGCCCTGCAAGAACAGTCTTGAGCCCTGCAGCTAGCAATGGTTTCAAGAAGCGGCAAACACCCAGCCCTGTTTTGGCTTTTTGCTGACACCCTTTGTGACATCCGCTGGCGTTCGCTCGATCACCGGCTCAAGCAAGAGCTTGCTTCAGTGCTCTCCATGCCATGAAGGAAGGTCAAGATAGTCAAGGCCAAGGCCTGAAACGCACATGGAGAGGACACACGAATGAAGACGAAAAACCTTAGCCCTCATGAGGCTATGGATTTGCCTAGAATGGCTGGGGGTTCCTGTATGAAACGGAGATGCTCATAAGGCGTGCACCATAAAGATATCGCACGATGAAACCGAGATTGTTGAACCCCCTAGGGGTTCTTGGTACATGAGCGAACAGGTGTGTTTGAATGACATACGTACTGTAATGACTTTGTCCAGTGTTGTATTGTTGTTTGAGGGTTCCGCGACAAACTTACTAGTAGCTTCTTGTTCCTAGTAGTAAGAATGCTCCTAGTAGTAAGGCCAGGAGCCCCCAGTAGCGTCCTTGCTCCTAGAAGCGATGCCCTTTGTTACTAGTAGCTTCTTGAGGAGGGATCCGTCACACGCCTGTTGATCCGAGAAAGCGTTGCCACCACATGCCCTAGCTGTGGCAGTGTTGAGAGGAGCACTCTTGACACCATTGTTGAGGGGTCATTCCTCACCATTTCTTTGGCCTCACAACTGTAGCTCTTTTTGTTGGCTTGTGATGACTTGTGGCCTCAGATCGAGTGGAGACGAGTGGAGCTTTGTTCGGTCAGAGTACTGGTGTGGTCGGTACACTGGTTCCGTCGCAGGCGTCATGTTCGCCACGAGTGAGAAGTCGGCAAAGTCCCAGTCTTCGGGATCCAACGCCTCAACGGGCGCCTTGGAACCAGGGCATGCAATGGACGTTCGCATGATGTTGCATCCGTTTTTCAACCAAAAACTACGTAGTGTGGCCCAAAGCTGGCTGGCTATAAGATCGACAGTCACGGGCTTTTGATTTGCTGTTCACTTACTTTGCCCAAATCCTATCAACCTCACATGGCCTTACATTGAAATTGCGACCTAGGACTAGGACTTGTGGATTGAACATGAACCTGCTGAGTCAGCCCAACACATCACTTTTCTTTTGAGAATTCTGTTGCTCTATATAATATTATGTATATACCTTCTAATAATAAAATAAAGATTTGATTTGATACGTACAAGGAACCTGAATGTTGGCACACACACACACGACTCGTCCAGAAGCTGTGAAAAGGCGTTGGTATCGGCTACCTCTGTGCAAATAGATATAGAGCACAAGCTACCAGTAGCAAGTGCACCGCTACTAGTAACAAGGGCATTACTACTGGTAACAAGAAGCTACACAAGGGCTGTGCATTACTGCTGACAAGAAGCTACTAGTAGCAAGTGCATCGCTACTAGTAACAAGGGCATTACTAGTAAGAAGCTACTAGTAGCAAGTGCATCGCTACTAGTAACAA